TGCCTGGTTTCAGCATACGCTTTACAAAAGGTGTCGGGGTTATGACTTTTCACTTCTCTGCTTCTCTAATGAAAAACAGGAAAGGATTCTTGCAAAATATTTGACTGTCTTATGACCTTCATACACTATTTCTAATGATGAGAGTAACATATAGAAAAACAAATGATTGAGAGCAATATAAAACATATACATGAATAAAATGATAAAAACAACAATCCAACAATTTCATAGTTTGCTTTGCATTCTGCCCCGCTGATGCTGCTCAGCTAGGGATTCGTTTTTTTCCCGATTTCAGGTTATTATGTGATTCTTTCAGAGGATGTGGTAAAGTATCTGGTACAATGGGGGCTGACAGATAGCAGTATTAAAACAACCTTGCCACTAAAGCTATTTTCATTTATGAAAGGTGCCAACCCTGTGGAACACTCACAGAGTATGTTATATAGTCATACATTCTAAGTGAGAAAATTAAATAGAGCAGAGGTCCTCAATGAAAAAGAAATACTCAAGGCAACTGGTTAGTATACCTACGTATGTCAGGTATCCACAGCTTTTTATGTCTGAATTACTTATTTTTGTATTAAATTATGCATTCAGTGCATCTTAATTCATTTTTTGAGGCATTGAAAATAATTAGATTGAGCAAATTTAAGTAATGAAAGCTTTTTACATTTTCTTTAAAAATTCTGATGGGCTTTGCAAAACAAACAGCTATATAGGAAAGTTCTTTTGATTCAAGTCAAAATTAAATTTAACCTGTGATGTTGCTCAATGAGACATGGACCTTTTTACGTCTGAGAAACCTTTGAATATCACAATTATTTCAACCAATAATGTGTGTATATAAATATATAAACAGGTAAATAAGGAAATTTTGCGAAGAAAATAATTTACTATTTAAGGACCTAACAGCCAAGAGGAATATGAGTAAAAGTCAGGCGAATTGTGAGAATAATGCTTCTAGAGTAGGTTCACCAGTGTGTGCTTTTCAAGGCTGCGTCCACTTTTACTTACAGTAGTTGTGCGAGAACCTCCTTCCCAGCACGGTTCGCCGTTCTCATACACCATCTGACTGTAGTGGTTCTTTGGCGGTCCTGCCCACATCCCCCATGTTCTGAAGCCAAAACAGAGGCAAAGAAAAAAAAAAGAGGAATCTTTCATGACTTTTACAGAGGACTTCTGAGCATTAAAGAACATTTGATACAAACTGAGAGAATCTTTTTTTAAAGCATCACTCGTTTGGCACTCTGAAACACACTTTTATTTCAGCAAAAAAAATAAAAATAAATAAAAGCCTGCAAGATGGTAAGTCTGGCAGTGCCCTTCTTTGGCACTGGTACACAAACGTCCTCTCTTTGCTCAACAATGGAGAGAAAATATTAATTAACGTTGTGTCAGTGCTAGTGCCGTGTGCAACTATACACAGGGGAAGCAGAAGAGGAAAACTCAGATGAGTGTGCCTGCCCATTGCTAGCTAATTATATTCTCACCAAATATTTCTAGGGGATAATAGAAACCAAACCATACCAGGGTGCCAGTGGGAGGTATCCAGCACTGTATCGACGTATGCCTTTTCATTATGCTGACATTCTCTCATGCTCTGCTTAAATTAGGTAACAATTACAGGGAGCTAAGCAGATTTGATTTAGGTAATATCCTGGTATATGGCAGAACCTTGGATTTGGTTAATTTTACTCCTCTTTTTCACTTGCATCTAGTGTCTAGTTTATCCGCAACACAGGGCATAAATAATGAAGTAAATCTTTGTCTGACTTTCTGCAGACCTTTTTTACAATCTTCTTTCAGTAGCCATTAATCATTCTCTGTATCAAGCTATAAATTCTATTCTTTTTTTTCTTAGAACTGTTCTGTTCATTTGCTTAAGTGCCATCCACACCGTTGCCAACTCTTTCACAAGATGCAACAGCAGCTCTGTGTGCCTCCACCGGTCTTTCCTCAAAGAAATAAACTAGTAAAATTAGCCTTGCACGGTCAGGGCTTTTAATATAAACAAAGATAACTTGTGTTATTTTCTAAATAATTAGTGTTTTATTCATTAACCTAAAGGTCAAACATTTTCAAGCTTATATAAATTTGCCAATTATGAACAACACACATTTTGTCAGAAATACTAAAATAATTCTGTGACATACACATAAAATAACATAAAACATTTTAGCTGAAACAAGTTCAGACAACATTTGCATCAGAATATTTTTCTAAAAGTCGCCATTGATTCATAAGTGTTCAGTTTCATTACTTTTTAAAGCCTATTTCAAACTTTTGCTGCAGCATAATGGAAAGCTGGTCTTGCAGGCTAACAAAGAATCCAAAATGACTCCCCATTCCTGAGGGGCGGACCCATTCTTCTGGTTCAATTTGCATGTTTTTTTAAGCCAAAACAAGTTTTTGGGCTACTATATAAAGCTTCCAACTCAACGCTAATTCTGACATCTTGAATTGAAAAAGCTTCCAGGATGGGAAGCGAAACGTTTTCAGTCCAGTGGATTGTTTATTCTTAAACTTTTTTGGAATGACTTGGGCAGAGCCTTTATCTTAGGGTTTCAGACAAATGCCCAAACAATGATAAACAAAGGATGGAGATAGACTTTTTAGATATTCATAAAAAAAAAAAAAAAAATACCAATGGCGTTTGATTCCATAATCATAAGAATTTTCAGTTTACAGTAGAATACAGACAACAGTGCTGTGTGCAAATGAAGCACTTGCTGGAGGGCCACATAAGTCAAGGTTTCTTTAGCTAATGTTTGGAGCTGATCTTTATTGAGTATAATGTCACTTTAATCAAACATCAGTCTTATTGTCCTCTGGATCAAGGTTTTCTTAGCAGATAAAGGGAAAGATGAAGCCACATGCTAAAAAAAAAGAGGAGTTTAGAATTGATTACTATCCAACCGGATTCCTAGAAACTTGTTCATTAGCCTGTCATTAGAGGTGGTGATGGGTGGGAGTTTAAAAGATTATAGATTACTTTACCTTACACAAATTACTTTGATTTTGTCAGTACATCAGTATTTCTTTTGACAAAGAGATAGATTACACCTCAAAAATGATCTATAAATTAGTAAACATTTATTAAATTAAGTGTATTTACTCTTAATAATGTAATCTGCCATTGGAATGAGTATATTTACCTGCTTAGATTAAGGGTAAATATCCTTAATCTAAGCAGGTAAATATACTCATTCCATTGGCAGATTACCTTATTTACCTTCTCAGATTAAGGGTAAATATCCTTAATCTAAGCAGGTAAATATACTCATTCCATTGGCAGATTACCTTATTTACCTTCTCAGATTAAGGGTAAATATCCTTAATCTAAGCAGGTAAATAAGGTAATCTGCCAATGGAATGAGAGTATATTAACTCTTAAGATAAGATAATTAGATAACATGCACTTGAAATAGGATAACGCAATTATTTTTTTTCTTATTTGAACTTAAAAACATAAATGATCTTATTTGATTGGTTAAGTGTCTCACTTACCTCCTCGGTTCAAGAAAAAAGCATTTATTTAACTACAAGATGACTGATTTAGATTACATTTTTTTTGTAGTGAACTGGGCTGTGCCTATTTTTATTATTAGCACCATTAAGAGCAGAAACAGAGCGAGCAAGTCAGACAAAAGGTTGAGAGATTGTTTAAAAGCATGGTTAGGTTCTAAAACAATGTTCAAGCTTTTTAGAAAACAACAGCAAATCAACAAAGAAATGGCCACACTATAATGTCGGGTAAGAGAGGAACATTAATTAAAAAAGCAGACAAAAACCCCAAAGTAAATCTGCAGGAGCTATAGAGATCCAGAGTTCAGAAAGTTGATTATTCACTGTACACTTCTAGAATGAGGCTTGTACAGTACGGGAAAGGACAAGAGCAAAGTCAAACCAGGTACTGTTTGGGTTTCTCACATGCCACGAAGAATGCACAAAAGTCTAAACTATAAGCAAACCTAATAGAAATAGACCTAATAGAAAATAGAAAAGACCTCACACTGTTCATCTTCTAACATCTTTAACATAGACCTATAGGTACAGGAAGAACCGCACTGGTCAAATCTAACTCTAGATGTGAAAATGACCCCACAAATTTAAGGTTGATACTGTCGGGAAAATCTTTATCTATTTTTATTTTTCCAACTCAGTAAGGTGGATACAAAAGCAAACTGTTTTTTTTTTACATTCAAGCTAATAAAAAAAAAAAGAACAGACATGTTTTCCATACACCAGTCTTTATTACTTGTTTAAATATACTTTATAGAATACCAGTAAAATGCAGTAAAGCTTAAGGCTTATTATAATGGTTTCAAAAAATAACAAATGAAAATTCCTCTTTCAAAAAAAGGCTATCTTCTTTTTAAGACCTACAGCTCTCTTTGAGTTTTCATACCCTACTGTAGTGCTCTTCACGATGCACAAGCATTACTTAAAAATCCTGAGGGGTTGGTCAGAGGTGAACTGCTCGCATGACTGAGGCAGGGTCCAAGTGCCTCCCCTTTTCTTCCCTTCTAGCCTGTTTGATTGGGTTTCAGTACCCTGTCAGCGCAGGACGCTTTTAAATGGATTGCTTTCAATGCGAGTGCAGAAAGCTCTGGTGCCCTAGCTTCTCAGGCTAGTTGACTGCCGATCTTATACATCACCTATGTGACTCTTCATCCAACTGTTCCCTTGATTCTCCGCTGTTCTTTTTTTTTTGCCTTTGCTCTGTCTCTGTTAGCCTTTGTCTACCTCAGAAGAAAACGTAGACTCTGTCAATTAGGAGCTGAGTTATCGCTGAGATGTGGCCAAGGCACTGCTCATATAGACACATGAACTTAAATTTTATTGGATAGATTCCTTGTAATAATACCCACCTAGGTTTGGTATCGGCAGGCCATTTTCTTAGGTCTGTGTGGAGGTTTTTACTACTAGTTTGTTACAGATGTAGTTATTTACACCATTGAAAACAACAATACATGGAGCCTTATTGCTTAATTGGATACAATTTGGGTGCCTATCATCCATATGTGCTAGCCTGACCTGCTGTCAGACAACATAACTCCACCCCAGCTTTGCACAGTGGACCCCTGGGTATGGTGACAACTTCATTTTCATATCCAATTTGTCACAGTTTGGCTCTAAGCTGCATCCTTGACATAAGTCATGCTTGCATGCACTCACAGCAGAGGGATCAGCTTCCTAAAATCATTTGGTCTACCGTTTGAATGTTCTCATTTGCACCCGTGTCTTGAGGGACTCTCCCCCCCAACACTAAACATCTCTATTGAAATGAATGGCAAGGACAAAATTCTGCTTCTCCTCCAAAAAAGCTAGATGAATAAATCCAATTTTAGTAGGCAAACAGATTAACACTGTCACTGAGGAATGAATCTCACTCAGGCCTCCTACACTGTGTTTCATCTAATAATCCACTACTTGTCGCCGGCTCAACTTTTCAGAGTGTTCAGTCCTTTATGCATATTTTAAAATATCAAAATACTACAATTCGTTATGCGCTTAAGGCTGACATTTAAACTGAGAGAAAGCTTTAAATATGAAACTAGGATGGAGGGGAAAACAAAAGGAAAGGAAGAACAGAGGGAGACGGGTTAGATAAAAGAGAGGGAACGTCGAGGAACTGAGAAAGGGGGTAAAACCGAAGAAAATATCAAACAAAGGACACAAACAGGGGAGCACAAATAAAATGTTACCATATTCCATCTACAGCCTCCATGGAAAAAAGAAAGTATGGCATAAAATGCAGGTTTCTCTTTGAACAATTAACAATGCAGAATATTGAAGAAATCCACCATTTTAGGGCATGAAAAATAGAACATTTAATTTACAGACATGTGGATGGATATTCATTCTGTTTCTCTTTCCTTAACGGCATAAAATGCACCCTCCATCAGAGTTAAACCTGTAATAGGCATCACATCCAAACAGCTAAACCTATTATCCATAGACTGGGTGGGATAGGGGCCACTAGGGGCCTCAGATGTGTCTCTAACTGCCCACATTAAGCAGCCAATTTCATTTCGTTTTCCCTCTCAATTACTAAGGTGTGATTTTGATTTACAAAGGCAGATTGAGTTATAATTAAATCACAACATTCAA